TGTAGATATATTGATAGATAAAAATAAGAATAAGAATAATATGGGTATGATAATTAGAATAAATATTAAGAGATACTAAAATCTAATAATCATAGGTTGATTAATGGATTGATTGGACAGTAAATGAATTAGATACAAATTTCATGACTACATTCCAATAATTATGGGGACATTATCCAGTCAATGAGGATGCATTCAAAAATGCAAAAAACATTATCAATGATAAATAAACATAATTAGACGATCACTTCAAGAATACTTCATATTTGATTGGGGATAAATTGACAATTGCTAAAGTTATTCTTATTGTAAGAATTGCTCCATTTCGTCATTTTATTGATTGATGAGAAAACCAGAAAATCATACCCTTCACTTACGAAATGGTTCATAGCTATGTCTGAACTTCCTCAATTCATAAAAGTATAAGTCAACTTATCTATATAGAATTTCGGAAGAATGAGATTATGCAAAGTTGCCTTCCCATTACCTAAATAAGAAGAATAACCAAAGGAAGAAAAACTAAAAGAATAAAACCAAAAGAGGAAAAACAAAAATAAAAAAGTAAAAGGAATAAAACCAAAGGAAGGAGAAAAGCCAAAGGAAACATAAAAATAAAAAACATAAGACGATAATGAGCCACTTCCTGAAAAGAAAAAGAATCCTTTAGATTTACTTCCTCCACTCCATTCAATATTGATGACTATAAAAGAGCCATCTTTGCTGAAAATGATATTCCCAAGAATATTTAATAACTCTTCACTTAAGTTGACGCTAAAGGCGGGGTCTTTATGGATTGTCACCTATAATAAATCTCAAAATGAAGGTAAATAACTTATTTTAACAAATAATTTGATGAAAGGATTTATTGATTAAAGATTGGATAAAATTTTAGAAAATACTCTTTTGCTATTCATGGTGTTTATGGTGATGAACCAAATTTGAAAATCAGAGAAGAATGGCTTTGAAAAGGAATTAAAGTCCCATAAGAATGTTTAATAATTATAATTAATATGTTTTTAAAAGATCCTGTCGCTCATGATTACCTCGTTTTCAGAAGTATCGACATTAACAGTAAGTATGATAAGAATGATTTCACTGAACTTTTGGTGAACTAAGAAGAAGATGTAACCAAAAGAAGCGGATCTTAAAGCCAGAAGCTTGATGTTTCGGATGACAATAAAATATTCATAAAATTCTATAAATTGTAAAATAAGAATTATCAATCCTCTCTTTTAGAAAATTCAGTATTTTAGAAACTATTATATTCTGAATTTAAAAAAATGGAATTGTAAGTTTACATCTAAATAGAATATATTTTAAATTTTTTAGAAGTAGAATCCCAAATAACTAAAATATTTCCATCGTCACTTAAATTTCCATAATTGAAATTATCTTAACAATCTATAGTTTAAATAATTTATAACTTCTCATTAGATAGTTGTTAAATGACATATACATATTTACCGTATTTTTATATTAATACTTATTTTTATGAATTATAAATAGTTGGAAATAAATAATCTCCATCGACTTCTGCGTCATGTAATTCTAACTCTAAATCCTTTCTTTCAATTATTTTGTTATTTTTTATATTGAATACTCCTGTGATATCTTTTTGGGAATATTAGATAACAAGTTTATCCTCATTTATAAAATTAGATCTATAGCCTGTATTATCTATTGAATGTTTATCAGAATATTCATATTGTTAAGTCTGGCTATTTTTTGTCCAAAGAACTAGAGTTTAATCAAGCTTAGATAAAACTAGACATGTATCTGATGGGTTAATACATAAACTGTATATACTCCATTAAGATTCTAATAATTCATATGAAAAGGTGATAGTGTTTTTTTCTAAATTAATGTTCCAAATCCCTACTTTACCTTCGAATCCTCCTGAAAATAATTAATCTTCCTTATTATTTAAAACCAATGTGTAAACACTAGAATGATGATATTTCTTTGAATTTACAGTGACCCATTTATTGCCAACTAGTTTGGAACAAAATATTTCTCCATCACACCCACTTGTAGCAAACCAGTCTATTTTTTTACTGTAAACAGAACATAAAATTCTACCTTTGTGATAATTAAATCTTTCTATCTCCTTAATTTACATCGTATTATCAATATCTGATTTTTATAGTTACCATATTTTGACCTCTTATTCACTACTGGCCATCATAAAATTTTTACAAATTTATATTCCACAAGGATATTATTGTTATTCTGCTTCTCCTATAAGTTTATAAATTTGATATTGATTCTAGTTCAACCCCATCTTAATTGTATTTTCTTACTTGAATTATATTAGAGAAATTTTAATTTACTCTATTTCTTATTGAATTTTGAGAACTTGACTTTCTTTTTCAGCTTACATTTTCAATAAAATAATTTTTTTTTATTTTTCTGAGGTCGACGGATTATTTAAATCAAAATAAAATAGTTTTATTTGCTCTTCAAAATCATAGAATTGACATTTGTCCTGTAATTCTTAAATATATTTTTTCCATTTCTCAAAAATTCTCATGAAGTCATTTTAAAAATTCCTTATTATTTTCTCCTGCTTTGAAAGTTGGACTAAAACAGGATAATATGCTATCTTCAGATTGCTTTCAATCTCATAAGCAACCCTTTATATTGATTCAACCTTGCCATGGAGTTAGGTGTTTTCATTTATGCAGAAAGTGCAGTAATAATAAACCTTTTATTCATTCTCTTTGAAATGAATGAATTCTGTTCTTTAGTTAACATGATGAAGACAAAATTCCTATGGCAATCTTGTTTAGAAATTAGTAAACATCAAGTTTATTTTTTAAAATAAGAACTTGGATTATATTTCATTTATAAATCGATAAATTAATAGAAATTGAATAATATTTTATCAGAAATGTCAGTAATTTCATAAGTGCTAACTTTTTTATTACTGGTTATTGTTTCTTATTAGCTGAAATAATTTTTTGCGTTAATTAGTTCAGATATTGATTCGAGCACCTATTTATTATGATTATACTTCATTATAATTTATAATTATTTAATTAAAGTAACCTTTGATAACTTTAATTAAATTTATTAACAGTATGAAAAATCAATAAGGGCTTTTCCAAATGTTTATAATAGAATAACAATTAAAACAGAAAATTGATGATTAATATAAGTTATAATGTAGGTGCATTGTTCCAAGGAGAAACCAGAACATTTATTAATAAAAGAATCAAGAAAATGGTTAAAATATTAATTAAAGATCATCGAATATAAATAAATGAATGTAACTTGGATCAAGGAATAGTTTAATAGATAAATATCTTGAATAAAGAAAATAGATTCTGTTTATTGAGTAATACAAATATTAAGAATATTAATATTGAGAATAATGATAATAGAAGAAGTTTTTCTTTTATACTTTACTTTGTAAATGATTTAAAAATCTCCATTAAATTAGATGGATGACTTATAAATAAATTTTGTTGATAATATCATAATTATCTCTAGTTTAGCATTATTAACAATTGAACCTTAATCTTAATCACTTATAATTTTCTTTATACCCTCTCAAGTATTAGAAAAGTAGATTTGTTAAGTTTATGAATAGGATTGTGTATTTGGATTTCTTATAGTAATTTATATAGTTAGTAAAAATTTATAATTCAAATTAAATTCATATTAAAATACAATCGTTATGCGGTCGCCATCTCTATTTTCACCAGTATTTATCTTTGAGATAATAAAAGTCTAAGCAACAAAGATATGAAAAGCAAAATGGGTCTTTTTAAACATTTTCAACAACCAATTAAGTGAACAAAGCTCAATTGGCTGATTTTCGAAAAGAAATACGCAATAATATTAGTTAAAGAGAACCTTTTGTTCCACAATAGGAAAATAAGCCAATCTCACTAACAAACTGGAAGAAGCATGAAAGAAAAAATACGTAATTTTTTGAAATTAATTAAAGAGATGGCAATGTGGCTAAATATATGGCAAGGTCTTCTCCTAAGAAAAGCTTACCTGGTGGGTTAAATGTAGAAGAGATCTTGTAAGTATACATTATATTCTTAGCAACAGCCAAAAGAAATTTATAGATAAGAATTAGTCCCAAAATACTTTTTATTATTAACAATAAAGAAAAGTGGATTAACTATTTAAAAAGGACCATAATGATTCTTTTAGTAAATAAGACAATTCATTTTCTAATTTATTGAAACCAAAGAAGTCATCTTAAGCACTGTTATCAAGATAATCAGGAAGAGATTAATCTCCAATTAACTTAGAAAGATTTAGAAGTTGGGACACAAAGTTAGATCTTCAACTAAAGCAATTAAATAACTCTAAAGATATTAGTTTCTATAAATATTCCTAACAACCTTAAAAAGAGAATATTTATGAGACTAGTAAACCACTTTAAACAAAAGATATCTTTAATATCAATAAGAATGCTAATAACTTTAATAAATTTTTAAAGAGTTCTTCCCCACCTAAATTTATTGAAAAGATACCCTTAACAGAAATAGTTAAAATGCAGTCATACTTCTCATAATTACCCACTGTGGAAATTACGACTATCCCAAGAGGGTAAATTTTTTATTTAAACTTTTAAGATATATTTAAGAACTATAGAACTTATAGCAAACACTGGCTAGAGTAGTCAGATAGTCATCATAAATTATTTGATCTATTATTGTATCATTTTTATAAACAATTCGTATTTTCTAAATGATCAGGGATATCTTATGCACTCAGTTGACATAAACATCTTATACAAAAGCATGATCCTTTACATTTTCCTGAGTTACATTAGTAAATTAGTCTATCGATCAAAATTTCAGTGATCCCCTAACAAACAAAGCATGGAATAAAATCAGCTATACTTATTATTCTGATTTTCTTTCTTTGTTTAGGGATAGGATTTTCCTATTACTTATTTTGCAAGGCATTGCAGTTATTTAATTAAAAATGATTATAGTGATCCTTCTTATTATAATAATTTTACCTCTTTTTTTAATTATTCATCGCATTTATAACAAAAATAAGTGCCACATTTGCAAGTCATAAAACTACAACCTGCTGTTTTTTCAACTAAGATTTTACATTTTGGACATCTGCTAATCTATAATTTTTTCTTTTTTTCTATATAACTACCTTCTTTAAGCAATAATGCTTATTCGCAAGTGATTTCAAGTAAATGATCATTATTGCATTTTCTACAATGTTATTATTTACAAACAGGGCACTTTTGATGATCTTAAATTATACTTATATAGTAACCTGCAAATTTCCATATCATAAATTTATACGAGCAAGATTAATTCTTACATGCTACAAGGATTTCATCATCTATCAAATATTCTATAAGGTTTTGCTTAATTAAAAGTTCACAATATTGTGAATAAAAATCTGAACTAACTATGCTTTATATCCATTAATTATCAACAAGCTGAGTATTACAATATGAACATGCGAAATACTTAAGTTAAACCTTTTATTCTCTTATACTTTATTCATATGAAGTTTTTAAACATTGCTTACAAAAAGAATGTTAGCAGTTTGGAAACCATTGTATGTCAGTCTTCGAAAAATTGGAAAAACATATAAGGCAGCTTTATTATTCATCCATATAAAATTAATAATAATTTTATAATATTATTGACATCTTAGACAACAATTATCATTAGAGTCTTAACAATTAATCAAGAAGTCTAGTCATATTTATTCTTTTATCTGATTTTGTCGAATAACTTTTTTTGATTAAAAATGCTAGTATCTTATATGAAAATTACCAATTAACAATTAATATATATTCTAATTAGGAGTATATTTTGCATAGTCAACATTCTTAATCAATCAAATATTTTAATCTGTATAAATAAATGAAAAATTATTTAAATATTGAGGTTGGTTTTAAAAACTTTACATTACTAGTTAAAAAATGATTAAGTATTTATTAATAAAATATTTAATATATATTGATTTGGATATAAAACATCTTTAAATAGAATTTAAAATATATATTTTATAAGTGAAAAGGCTCAAACTATCTTTCAAATTTATGAATTGTTCGTTGAATGAGGAAAAGACTCTTGTCTAATTAAATAAGAATTTTGGAGAACATTCATTTGTGATAGTGAAAGTTACATCCCTGTAGACATATTAGTTTCTTAACTAGAAGCATTCGATAAAATTGGAATGCTTTCTTTGAGCATTTATGAATGTGAAAATACACTAGCCATTTCCTCCCAAAACTTTTAACACATGGAAAAGTCTACATTACGACAAATAATTACATTATTATTAATATTATTATTATTACTAATACTATTGTTAAGGGTAATTCTAAAAGACTTAAGAATTATATAAAGATCTAAATTGTTCACTTGGAAATTGCGAATTCTATATGTTAAGTATCTAATTAAGATTTTTGCTTAAACTTTAACTTAACACACTTTATGCAGTTATATTTGGTTAAAATTAGTTGTCATCTTCCTCTTTGACCTAGACTTCTGAACTTTCAACTGACGCTATTCCATTCCAAACTTCCTCATTTTTTTCATTGATATTATTAAATATATTTTTTTCCTACTCCTTTTCTTTTGTAATAGCATTTAATTTTTTAGATTTCTTTTTTGAAATTTAAGAATGTTTCTTCTTTTTTACAATACTGTTTTGGCAAGATTAACTACTCTTATTTTAATCCTGCTTTAGAATTTCATCTGATTAATTTGATTTTAATTATTCCACATCAGTTTTTTGTTATGAATTAGGTATGACATAGTAAGGATTTTAGATATTCATATACTCTTTTCTGATGAAGGAATAAAATCTATTTTTTATCATATTTTCCTAAAAAAATTAAGTTAAGTATTATACAGGTCTCCCTTTTAATAACTTGGATATTTCCGTCCACCTTGATCCGTACTTTTAATAGGCTTCCATGACAATAAGATCTTCTTCCTTTGACCATGGTTCAGCCCTTATTTCTGGGTTTAATTTGTTTATGAATCGTTCTCGAATTTACTTTCCCGTCCTCCAATGCATTATGCTAGCTATCATTCCCCAATTCCTTTTGTGTATTTAAACCAACTCTAACAGTTATTAATCTTCTATTGCACTCCAAGAATGTCGAGAGCGTTACTGAGCTTATTTAAAATTAAACATACTGAGACAGGCTTAATTCTCTTCCATCTTTATGCGCATTAAGAAGGATTTCTATTATATAAATGTTTTGCCACTTCCTTCCAATTAGTTCCAAGTTCATGAATTGCTCTTTCCAGCAGCTTGTCTTCCTTTTAAGACCATATTTTTCTATTCTGTATTTTTTTTGAAGTTGCCTTTGCTGACAATTTATCATCCTCCATTTCATAACGTTCCAACTAACTACAATTGAGAAATACATTACTTATCACTAGGCACCATTCAAAATTTAATTTAATTATTTATATTTCCCAATCAGATTTGTCATGTTTATATGTGATGAAAATATATAAAATAAGATTTGAAACAAACTATAAAAATATTAAACAAGATAATAATCCCTAATGACCATATAGAACATTTTTTATAATTAAGGGTACTTCAATTAACATTATAATTTAAAACTTACCCGACAGAAGTTAATTTTAATATCCAATACAAATATGTTTTGTAATAAAAATATGTATGAATTCACAAAAATTTATTTGTTTATCAAGTAATTATTTGAATTTTACTACAACCCAATTGATTTAAGAGACTCAAGTTTCAAATTCTGTTAGGATTTTGCATGAAAATTAACTTTTACCTTGTGTCAATACGTTAAATTCCTAATAGAAGATTCTAAAATCATTCTAATATTGAATTACGAACTCTTTGTTAAAAAGTCGTTAAAATCACAAAAAACAAGCATAAGAATTGTTATCTTAACTTGAGTTTTTGAGTTTTAAATGAATCAAATTTTTAATGAAAGCCCATTTATCAATTCCTAAAAATAACTTATTAAATATAAAACATTAATTAAAATATTTTATATATAAAATAGGCCTCATCGTTAAATAAATTCTGTTGATTTGGTTAAGCTAGAGAGCATCACTGAAAGGTTAAGTTAATTCAAAATTATCTATATATCGCTTATGTCTATAGAAAATCATGAAATAGACTAATATTGGACAATGAAGATGGATCTTTCATCTATTGATCGTAATTGACGAATTCAAAATTAATGTTCTACTCAATTTCAGGAATGTTTTCATATGAAAAATAAGAATAGAATTAACAATTACCTCAAAATAATTTGAAAGGAAAATAATATATACTTTACGTTTTTTATATTAAATTGTTCTCTTTAATGGTCAATTTTTTATATAATTAGTTTTTTAAAATAACTCATTCAATTTTCATATATTTCTTCTTCTTTTCTAAAATATTTGATTGCGCTATATCAATTCTTCTGATCTTCTTCAACAAAATAGAATGTGATCTGTTTTAAAAGTACCATATGACTGCTATAATAGTGAATATTATTGAATAAATAAGAATCTATATATTTGTATATAATAAGTACTGCAACAAAGCCAGTCAGCTTTCTTAACGTTCTCTTCCAATAATTGATTTCTTTAGGAACCTTCTTTCCTTAGAGTTAATTCCATTCTTCATTCCTCACAAAATTTGAAACAGATTCAAAGGTTAATTCTCCATTATATCTATACATAAGACTATTCATATCAAAGTAAATTAATTATGGGAATTTCGAAATTACTATTCTATCTCTTACATCCTCATTTTCATATCTAACATAAATGAATTAAATACATATCAACAGCTGAAAAGTACATATTTGTTGTTTTGAATTCCTCTGCTAATTTGTCAAAGATTGGAATAAATTCTTTCGAATTTTCTTCATGCTCCATAAAAAAGAATACTAACCATGGCTTCTCCATTTTTTTATCTAATCAATCATTAAAATAATTACCTATTTGTAATTGATTGAAAAAGTCATAGTCCTTTAAAGCAATAATCCTATATGAAAATAATTTTGATTTTTCAACGCCATATATTGTTAAGACAAGCGAGATTAGAATTAAGTATATATACATTATATTATATTTAATATATGTTTTATTTTATTTAAAATTTTCTAATGAATGACTTTATAGTAAATATCTAGCATTTCACAGCTCAATACAATTAGATTAGCGTAAAATGTTAGCTATTTACTATAAAAATAAATTTCATTGTTATTAATTAAGAATTAATGTACAAAAAACTCAATTTCTATATAAAAATGAATTTAGTTTGTAGGAATTGAAAGTAAGCTAGTTTAATTGGATTATTAAGCTAATTTCAATTTGATAATCCCTTAAATTTGATATTATTTCTCATACATAAATTAAATTATTAATATGAAGAACGAATAATCTATATTTAAGTTATTTTTGACCATTGACTTAGCTAAACAACTTACTAATAATAAAGAAATTGGTGCTTATCGTTTTGTGATTGATTTATAAGATTAATCAAAAACATTTAATTCGGCATCGACCTAGAGCATTTTATTTTTCTTAAAGTAAAATTAGTCATCATATAAATATTACTAGTGAAATAGAAAACAATACCAACATGACGGTGAAAATAATATCAGAAAAAGCAAACAAAATTTTAGGTACTTTAAGTATATTGATCCCATTTGCAATTAACTATGAATAAGAATTGACCATAACTGAATCATTTCAATTTGAAAACGAAACCAAATTGAATGGTTCTTACACACTCTATTTAATTAACATCCCATTGTTCAAATAATAAGGCTCCAATGATAGCACATCTGTCTAAAAAACTAACCTTGCTCCTTAATAATAAAAGTAAAAGAAGCAGGTCTCTAAGTCCCCTTAATCAAAACAGTCATAGTAATCTTATCTAGAAAAAATAAACAAGGAAGTCACCTAGATTCTAAATAAACATCACCATTCTCTAAGCTCAAGGAAAGATAAGACGATTGATACTGGGATTGTGGATGAATCTCCAAGTAGAATAAGCGATAGAGTGTAAGTGAGTAGATCTGGAACAATTATTTAGTCGGAGATCAGTCCATCTTAAGTGAGAAAATATGTTATGGAAGATTCTCCGTCTAAATTAAATTGCAGTTTCAATAAGGAAAAGGAAATAAACCATAGGCATCATTAAGAACTTAGTTGCTTATACTACTTAGATTAGGCAACTCTAAGTAATCAAATTCAAATAGAGAATGAGAACTTAAAAGAAACTGTTATAAATTTGAACACTAAATTGGAGTATTAGGAATAATAAATAATTTTATACAAATCATTAGAATCAAATTATAAAGAACTCTAAAATCAGTTAACCTCATTTTTGAAGGCTCAGGAATTAACTAAATCTGTTGATTCAGTATTTGATAAGGAAATACTAAAATTGAATGCATAATTAAATTAGAAGATTTCCCAATTGTTAGAAAACGAAAAGAAATTTTCAAAATAAAAACTTGAGTATGAAATCTAAATATCTGAACAGAGGAATGAAATTAATATGCTGAGATAGAATCTATACGAATTAAGTGAGAGATAAAAATACTATTCCAATTTAAATAATGAATTAATTAACCAAAAATAATAAAATATGGAATTAAAATAAGATTTAATTAAAAACGTTAAGGATTACGAAGTCAAATTATCTAAATTTGATTAGCATATCACAGACCAAAATAAAAAAATTGATGATCAAACTAAGTTAATTTGGGATTAAAAGTAGCAATATTAAGAGTTGGAGAAATAAAATAAATCCTTATCTTTTTAATTGAAGAAGCTTCAAGAGAATCAATAAAAACAGCCATTAATTAATATAAAACCAGTCAGCAATAATAATGATAATGAAGAGACATCAAAACAACTATAAATTACATAAGAGATTAACTAATAGAAGTAAATTGAAATTGAAAAATTACAGAATGCTTTAAAGAAAGCTCAATAATTAAATTAAGATTAATAGAATGAGTAAGCATAAACAAAATAAGCAGTAAATTAGCTTAAATAGGAACTCTCAAAATTAAAAGAACACAACATATAAAATTAAAATCAAAAGACAAAATAATAAACTGAAACTAAATAATTGCAATAATAAATAGACAACGAAAAATCAAAAGTATGAAATTGATACAATTATAGGTTGCAACTTTATAGAGTCAATTAAAAGCCAAGAGCATTTAATTACAAGAGGCTTAAGTTAGAGATGAGAATTAATAAAATAAGATATTGAAATTGGAGTAGATTATAAAATAAACCAAGAATTTGATTGAAAATTAGGAAGAACAGATCAATTTATTGAATAATTAAGTAAAATATATGATAATTCTTAGATTAAAGATTTGTAGGATACAAAACAGAAATAACAAAATGATATAAAAGAGGACAAAGAAAAAATGAATTAATTAAAGTAATTGATAAGTGGAATGAAAGAATAACGAGTTGCATACATTCCAATGCATGGTGATCCAATAGATCATGCTCTATCAGAATACATCAACTCTGTGGATGATCCAAAAAAACTAATTGAACTCTTTTTTAGGGAAAAAGAAGGATAATATTTAATCGGCTCAAAAAGTGTACACCTAAAGAGTATATAACAAATCAATTAATTTAGCTGAATAAGGGAAAGTGTTTGTTAAGATTGGTGGAGGATTCATAGGAATTGAAGAATTTTTGGATTTATATTTAAAGGAAAAAACTGAGAAAATTGAAAAAAAATAAAGCTAACTAACTCCACGAAATAAGACTTCGAATAAAAGTTAAAGATCTTAGATATCTACTCACTAGTTTACTTCTTGATATTTATCATAAATTTATCATAAAGGAGAATTTTCATATAATTTTTTTGGAAATTAATATTTATTATATTATTATAATCAATATAATAAGGAATTAATAGATAAAAAACAGTAATTACATAAAATTAAATTATGATTATAATTTATGATTTTTATTTATTGCTATCAATGTTTTATTTTTTCTGCCATTTCCTATTATGATTTGCTTAAAGCTACACCTTTGACTCTTTCATGTTTTTAAGTTGCTGGTCCCGGAACTTTGATTGGTTTTAATTACCAAATCTCTTCAGCATACTCATAGATAGTCCTATCACTGCTAAATTTATAAGATCTGATGGCATTATAAATACTCTTCTTAGCCCACTCATTTGGTTAACGATACAGATCATCAACCTATTATACTTTAATGAATTATTACCTATTGTTAAGCCTTGATATAATCTTTGAAATCTTAACCAACTAAATAATTATCATTCTTATATCTAATACTATCAACAATCCATTTCAATTCATCATTATGTCCGAATCTTCCATTATCAATTTCTGCAAATACTTTTAATAATTCTTATGGGAAATATTCATGAGGATCAGTATTTCTCATTTTCTCTTTCATATTATCTACATCTTCCACTTAAGTTCCAAAAATAAATATATTTTCTCTGCCAACTGCTTCATCAATTTCTACATTGGCTCCATCTAAAGTACCTAAGATGAGACAGCCATTCATAATAAATTTCATATTAGAAGTACCAGAAGCTTCTGTTCCTGCAGTTGAGATGTGTTAAGACAATTCTGCAGCAGGAATAATAATTTAAGCATTACTTACATTATAATTTGGCATAAACACTACTTTTAAGAGATCTCCAATTTGATGATCATTATTAATAACATCAGCAACTGAATTGATTAATTTAATGACTCTTTTTGCATTAACATATCCAGGGAGCTGCTTTTACCACCAAAACATACACTTCTAGGAACAATCCTCTTTCTCTCTTCAGGAGTTGATTCCTTTATGATCAAATATCTATAGATCACATACAGAATATTCATCAATTATCTTTTGTATTCATGTATTCTTTTCACTTATATATCAAACAATGAATCAACATTTAAATCAACTTAACAAGTCTTTCTAATCCAATGAACAAATCTCTCTTTGTTTTCCATTTTAATCATCTAGAAATCCCTAACAAATTGAGGATCAGAAACATTAGATTCCAATTATTTCAATAACTCCATATCTAGGACCCATTTGTCGTTGCCTAATACTCTATCATATAATGCAGCTAATGCTGGATTAGCACATCTGACCCATCTTCTAGGAGTGACTCCATTGGTTTTATTTTAAAATTTATTTGGATGCATTTCAAAGAACTCTTTGAATATAGTAGTTTTCAATAATTCTGTATGGATCTTTGCAACTCCATTAACAAATTTAGAACCTACAATAGACAAATTGGCCATTCTGACTTTTTTAGTTCCCTCTTCTTCCACAATAGAGAGAGCACTTAATTTGCCCCAATTGTTTGGATACTTCTATTATACTTTTTCCAAAAACAAGAAATTGATTAAGTAGATGATTTCCAAATGTCTTGGAAGTAATTTCTCAATTAAAGGCACTCCCCATTTCTCCAATGCTTCTGGTAATACTGTATGGTTGGTGTAATTGAATGATTTAGTTACTATTTACCAAGCAGACATGTTGTCCAATTACTCAATATCTATCAAAATACGAAGCAATTCAACAATAGCCAAAGCAGGATGTGTATCATTCAATTATACTGCCACCTTTTATGGAAAAGCATTCCAATCTAAAACCTTTCTTCTCTTGAATCTTCTTACTATATCTTACATACTTGCAGAAACCAACAGATATTACTACTTTAATCTTAATTCCTTTCCAGCATCAGTCGAATCGTTTGGATATAAAACAGATGTTATGTATTCTGCCTTTTATCTCTACTCCAATGCTTTGAAATAATCACCTGTATTGAAACTACTAAAATCAAACTCTGAGGCTGGATGAGATTTCCATAATCTCAATGCAATTGTATTTTGAGTATTATATCCAGGAATGGGTGTATCATATGCTCTAGCCATAATGGTTTCACCTCCCTCCCAAACACTTCTTTCGACTCCATGATCCCATACTTTCTTAACAAAACCATAAAATCTGATTTAATATTGGACATCCAATCTCTCAATTTCCCATGGATTTCCATGATTCAACCAAAAATCTGGAGACTCCACTTAATAACCATCTTTGATCAACTATTTGAATATTCCATAAGTATATCTTATTCCATAACCAAATGATGGATAATTTAGAGTAGCCAAAGAATCCAAAAAACAGGCTGCCAATCTACCCAAACCTCCATTTCCCAAAGCTGGATCCACTTCTTCATCATAGAGCTCTTCCAATTTATATCCAAGATCCATAAGTGCGTCTCTGTAATCATCTTCCAAATCCAAATTAACTAATGCATTTTATAGGCATCTTCCGATCAAAAATTCCAAACTTAAATAATAGATACGTTTGGCATCCATCTAATGAAAATGTAAATTTGTATCATTAAATGCTTCAATCAATCTATCTCTTACTGAATGAGACAAAGCTTAATAACTATGAAATTTGGAGAAATCAAAGCGTGTTCTGGCCAATGTGTACTCGACGTGATGAACAATAGATTATTACAATGCTAACTTGTCACTCCCTTAGTAAGAATCCATTAACTCCCAAATTTTTGAAGTATCCCTTGGACTGGCTTATAGCCCAAATTGTTCAACCTCTAATACGATTATATTTGATATTACAATATTCAGGTCTATACATATTTGAAGGGCTTCCACTAACTTACACAGTTGATCTACGAACACTAGTCCTATATGTAGCTTTTTGATCCATTTTTATTTAATATATAAATAATATATATCTAATATAATTTATTTGTACATATATACTTTTTTGAAATAAAAGTTAATAATTAAAGTAAACAAACCTATGTTAAGTTGTATATTATTTAAATTAAATTGGGACTTCTTTCAATCTTACTATCTTTTGAACTTGATTTGTCTTGATGATATACTCAAGATCAAATAGAACGCAGCCTATGAGATTAGCCACAATTCGATTGGACCTGAATCTTATCAAATAACTTCGTATTTCTTATCTAGTAGCTCTATTAGAAAAGAGATTTTATTGGAATTTCCAGAATTATAATAATTACTTTAAAATGAAAACTAAATAAAGAAGGTCAATAAGTAGCGAATCCAAAAAGCCTTCCAATGACTACACTTTTAGGACTATTTAGTTAGCTACTCCATAGGTTGAATATTTCACTTCAAGATCTACTACAGCGTCAGTTGAAAAAAAATTACATAAATTGGGTAAACATAGGAACGAATTAAACTTACAGCTTAACAAAACAATTAATTATGATGATCAATCTCTTAGAAATTCAATGCTCTATTAAAATGAAGATTGGGGTAAATTTGAATTTCCAAGTTGGTTAAAAGGAAGAACCGACTTTATGAAACTTAGAAAATCCAAGCATTTTGATTATCATTTATAAGTCTTCTCAATATGCGAACAAGAGTATTAATCTCCATTAAATTTTAGCCCTTTTCGAAGATCTGATGAACTGATAGAAATTGTTGCTAACTACTTGGTAAAATTAGATTTCTTTCGACTTATGCCATTAAAAATGATTAAATAAATCTCCAGTAGACTATAGGCTAAAAGTTATGAAGAGGATGAAATTATATGCAACAAAGGAGACAAAGGAGACTCAATGTACATTATTTTCGATGGAAAAGTAGAGGTTTTAGGACAGAAAAAATTAGTATTAGGCCCCAAAAGCTTGATTGATCGAACTGCTTTGGAATTCGATTACTTTAGAAATAACACCTTGCAGGCAGTAACAGTCACGCACTTATTAATATTGAATCGAATAGAATATGTTACAATCTTAAATCACAACATGAAAGCAGAGCATTCCAATCATGAGTAATTCATCAAGAGCCACTAATTATTTTCTCACTTTTCTGATGAAAGAGTCAATAAATTTTGCAGTGTTTTGCAAGGAAAGTTTTTGACTATTAATGAAACTCTATACAATGCAGGAGATATGATAGATTACCTCTACATAGTCAAACAAGGTACTTTGGCTAGATAAATAGTGATGGATTTAGAAGATCAGAATAGATGGCCCATTGTAAAAATTCTATATATTCCTTTGTTAGAATTAGAAAAAATGGTTAAGTTAAATTATTACTAGAACTATATCTTTCAATATTGAATATCAAATAGGACAATTAGTTGGATACTCAGAGATTATAGATAATGATTTTGATTCAGAAAAAAAGAGGAAAGAAACTATTTATGCAAAAACTGATTGCTTTTTGTTATATGTTTCTAAATCTCAATTCTTTTAAGGTATGATATTGATCCTAAATAATTATAGTCTTCAATCAAATTGATATTTAGTATTTTTAGAATTACCAAACTCAATATCCTCCTATGACTTAAGAATAATTAGTAAAAGATACTCGCTAGAAATAAAGTGAATAAAAGTAAAAACTTTAAATGGTAAATTAAGCTATTTACTCTCATCTTAGATAATTCTCTTTTGATTATGAAACGCTTAAAAAAAAAGAATAAAAGTTTGATTAGGTTACAAAAAATTAAAAAAAAGCTTCAAGAGAGTTTACAAATCGTTACAAATTAATTCGAGGAGAAAAAAAAAATAAAATCATATCATTAGACAATTATTGAAATCATCACATTTATTTATCAATTATTATATCAAACCATTTATTAAGTTAGATTTAAAAAATAATTTTAGTTAATATATTAGTATTAAAGTCTGTTAAGACTATTATAATTATTAAATATTCTATCTAATTAGACTAAACTTTGAATTTAATTTAAATTGCATTATTAAATCATAAATTTAACAATAAAATTTGAAAGTTATAAACTCTCTTAAAATTAATATAAATTAGAAATGGCTATAATTATGATAAAAGATAAAACTTAAAGGAATAAAATAATATCTAAATATATTATTTAATATGAACTAAAATTTAATTAGATAATTTATAATATACTTATTGTCATTTCATTCATGTTTTTTCTTATTTAGATAATGGATTGAAACATTAACAGCTATTTATGATAATGTTATAATGCATAAATTGTAGGCTAAATGTAAATGTTATAAAAAGGTGGCTTATGCTATCATAAAAGCTATAGAAAAGTTTTGCATAGAAAAATATACCCCGTAAATAGAAAGTGGATCTTTATATTATTCAGATATTGTGATAGAGGATGTGAATTACCCAGTCATGTCGGCAAACCCTCTAAAATTAATATAAATTGTACAAAAAGAAGCCTAAAGCCTTTGTTAATGTCAAATCATACACAAAAGAGTCTACTAGTGATACAAACATAACAACACAAAGTATATTTGCATAGAGAATAATATTTGAGTTTGACTTGAATAATTTCTTAATAAATCCATTTAAAAGGGCTCCCAAGATTTAAGCAATGCCAACCGTAAGATACACAGATGCAGTTATCTCATTCACAGTCTAAAGATCATGATGTTATTTTGATAATGATTTATTAATGAATTAATACAGGAGACCGTACTCGAATCCGATGATGATGCCACTAGTCCAAAAAAGAGGGTAGTATATAAAGGATGATTTATCAAACATAGTTTTAAATATATTCTAAATGTTCCTACTTATAGAATTTTCTTCTGCTTCAATTTCTAAATCTTCTTAATTGACTTTGCTATCAAAGATTAGAACATCTGATTTTGTAGGGGTTTTAATAAAGAAAAAAAGCAGTGATAAAATGAGTTCAATAAACCCTGAGACCCAAAAAAAATTTGATCTTGATACTAATTATAACATGATATTAGCATAAAATCCACTCAACATAGAAGAACAGCCTAAAAATATATAAGTTGTGCTAAACATGATCTCTGATGATTCATGTGAGGAGCATTAACTCACATAAAAATTTTAAAGAATAAAGTATCCAGCAAGACCAACTCCTAAGAGAAAAGTAAATGATATACTAAGTGGGCTCATTACTGAAGGTTTGCAAATCCAAAAAGTGTCGTTACCGTTTCTACAATTCGCTAAATAGCTATTTCTTTGAATGAAAGTTACTCAGAAACAAAAAAGCATGGAACCACTAAAATAGCTTGAAATAGGAAGGCATAGTTGAATCTTCTGTTTTTTAGGTAAGCGGGGGCAATGATATTGAAAAGGAACTCGGTTAAGTAGACAGTCATAATCGAATATTTGCCTAAATCAGTATAGCCGTTTTGTTCTGCAATCTAGGGCAGCAAAGCTATAAGGGCTAAGCAAAGACTCAAATGTATTGTCAAAATCAGATTCATATAGAATAATTTCCAAAAGTTAGGAGGAATATTAAAACATGAAGCCATATTATAATTAATTTATAGCTTAATAAGATAACTATTGAGAGGCGAATTAATTTCTAGAGCAAAATTTTAGGCAATTATTTTTGGATCTCAAGCTAACTACCTTATAATGAAATGGAGTTCTTCAAAACAAAATGAATAATAAACTGAAGATATCAGACGTCTATATATAATTACACTCAAGAATGAGCTAGAAATATGCTTAATGTAATTATTAAATGATTCCGCTTTAAACTATAGAGTTTATTTGTTTTATGAAATTTATTATGGGTCAAAGATTTTCTAATAATTTTATGCATTAATTAATAATCAACCGCTATAATATGATATATAACAGGTGACCCTATATTAAAATGGCAATATGTATTCGGTTGAATATATTTAATCTTAACTTATCAATGCGAATATTTGTCAATGCAATTTTAGTACGATATGTCTTGTATCTCAATTATCCAAAATATATATGAAAATAGAGTCCATTAATATCAAAGAACTTAAATAGAGAAAATTAATAAATAAACCAAAGATCTTATTAATATTAATTAACAATATTTGACTGATACTTTTATATGTGATTTCTTGAAAACTGATATTCAATATAGAATTAAGTATCTTTAAACTATAATCAATATCTTGTTCTTCAAACAATTTCAAATGAGAACTAAAGGTATTTGAAAAAAAGGATGCAACTTAAGATTGATTAATATAAATAATGTTTAGTGGTCTGTCGATAATGGATGTTCGAATATTTAAATATTAAAATTAATGTCCTAACAGAAAAATCAAAAGAATGTTGTTGTGTACAATTATGAACCTCATCCCAAGACCATGAGTGAATAAGTTGCCAATATTCAATAATCTCAAATACAACCTGATGAATCACCCTTCAATGTTTCTAAAATATTGAAAGCTAAACAATAGCAAAGCAACATCTTTCATCTCCCTTAGTAGGATCTTGTAGATTACAGTAAAGTCACTCCAAATTAACATGCAGAAAGTAAGGACTCATACAAATATTAGAAATATTGCCATATGACATGTTCTGGTGGAATAGTTAAAATTTAAAAGAAAATAAGAAAACTGAGGTCAGTGCTCCTATTATTCCTAATGTTCACATGATTTAGAGCAGACCTTAGACTGCTGGTTAATAAAGAATAAATACAGAGTAGAGTTCCAATAATCAACAATTAACTGAATAATAATTCCTTCAATTTTAATAGTAGCAATACTAAATATTTTTACAATAATAGCAACAACTCAAGTTTTAATAATAGTTATAGCAAATTGATTAATAGAAATAATAATTGAATCTTCAATAAGAAAACCCATATGAAGTAATTAAAGAACATAACTAAATGATTGAGACTGCTTCATTTTCTGGACATGATAATCATAACTAAGGACCATTTACATAATAATAATAATAATAAAATAAATAGTAACAAACAAACTAATAATAATAATTATCTAATTAGTTATAGAATCCTGCTAAAGTGTATGATAAAGTCAATAATCCAAATGCTGAATTGAAATAAAAAAATCCTAACTTCTCAGATGTTTTCGGAAATGGCCTTGAGAAATATTATCAATAGAAGCCTTAGCAAAATAGTGGCAGAAAATAATAAGTAGAATATTTGTAAGAAAGTGAACTATATGGTGTAAAATATCATTAACGATAGATGCTCAAAGGAATGAGTTCTTAAATGGACACACATAAATATTATGACCAAATGTTAGATAAATAAACTCAAGATTAAAATAAATAAAAACAACCAAAAAGTAAATCTCACTCTCCTCAAGCTTCTCCTGGCAAAGATCTTGAATAGGATGAAAAATTGTTTCCTAAGCCAATCTACACTGAGATAAGCATAAGAGGTATGGGAAAAGATGTCAATTGGGAAAAATTGAAGGGATAATTAAATACAGTTCAAATGTAATTAGCAGATATTACAGTTGTAAAGGATAAACAAGGAAAAATTAAACAGCACAAAATCATAATTAAATATTTTGATCAAGGAAATTTATCAGGTGTTAAATAATGGGTTCTTACTCAGGGAGGTAGAATAGTGGAGGAAAGATAATTGGAATCGGAGGAAGAATTCAAGAAAATAATCAAATTAAAAGAAGGTCCTAAGCAAAGACCTATGAGAATTGCTGAAGAGAAGGAAAAACTGAAGCAATAAAAAAAAAGACCATAAAGTGCAGCACCAGTATAAAAATAAAAGAAATGATACAATTTAATTTTATAATCTAAAATATTTAGTTTTTTAGGTATCATACTGATATTTACTATTCTTTTCCCACAATTTCTATCTTCTCATTTAATATACCTTAATGTATATCTAAAACATTAATTAATGTAGTAATTACAGTAGCATTATTCTTAATAACATTTACCTCAAGCTTATTAACAATAGCAAAGGAATGTATCCAGCTCACCTATGCAAAGACAATTTCAAATACAGCCTTTCACTCCAACCTAAAACTTGGGAGGGTAGAATGAAGGAATGAAACCTTATTCTACAGATATGAGAGAAAGAAGTAGGTAAATGTAAAACACACCACAATACAATGGATAATCTTTAGAAAGTATGGCTTTGCGCATTCAGACTCTTGAGAAGGAGAATTCAAACCTTAAAAAATAATTAGAAAATGCTAATCACTAAATTCAGGTTTTGAATAACAAGTTCAATCAAAATCCATCTCCAAGTCTACTTAAAACAACCACATTTGAACTTGTTGTATTGTAAAAGGCTGTAGAACAGTTAGAAGGACTTAAAAATGGGCTTCAGAAGAAAAAATTGCAGGGAAGCAACAATCAAACCACTTTACCTGATTCTCAGAAGGAGGCCTTTAGCGAACTTAAAAGTAAAGTTACTGTAATGGAGGAGAAATAATAATAGTAAGAACATCAGCAATCTTAAGTATCTCCTCATATTTTAATTAGACAATGCTCATATTTCCAAAGGAATAAAATTTACAATAAAATCCTCCTTCTAAAGAGGAAGTCAAAGAAGAACCAAGACATGGCAGAAGGTTTAATGTCAATTCTTAATCTGATTAAGTTGACAATTAAACCAAAGTCAGTCCCGTTAGAGTTTTGAATGTAAAAGGAGGAACTAGTTAAAATGCTTTGAGAGTATCCCCCAGAAGAAAACCAGACTCACAGCAAATTTGAAAAAGAAATAACAATTAAGTGATTTTGTGCTAATTTTATGATAAATTATTCAATCGCTATGCTCAGAATAATCGCTATCATCCATTCTCTATCCAATGATTTATGTTCTCATTGTTTTAGTTGTTCTAGTGGGTTGTCTATTCAAATCCTGATATCTATAATTATTATTTTATATTATTATTACCTTTAAGCAATTTGTTATTTTAAGATATCCATATGATTCATTTCAGGAGCCTTACTTTATGGTTTTGGTTGATCTGCTGGTGCTTTGTTTTTGTTAACTGGTTTCAATCTAGCTAACGGGTTATCTGTATTTAGGTCATCAAGTAACTTGGCTCTAGCTCCAGCTGGGGGAGGTGGCAATTATCCAGGAGGAGGAGGGCCAGGAGGAGGTGGAGGAGGAGGAGGAGGAGGTGGAGGAGGTGGAGCACCTTTTGGAGGAGGAGGGGGAGGAGGTGGTGGTGGAGGAGGTGCACTTTTATTCTATTATTATTAGGGAGGAGGTTATTATATTTATTATTGTTATGGTTGTTAATATTATTGTTATTATTAAGGTTAGTATTATTATTACTATTATTATTACTATTATTATGGCTATGGCTATGTTTATTAAAGCTAAGGAGGTGCCTATGAAGGAGTAATGCTAGGAGCCACTGGCTTTTTATTTCTTTATTATGTAGATGGATTAAAAAAGTCTATGTCATCATTATCTGGGTCATAATCAACAATTCCTGCCAAATTAAGTTTTGCATCCACCTTTAATTAAGCTATAGGTTTGTTAGATGGAACATAAGAGTATGATTCCTCTCCGTATTTTGTAATTGTTTCTCCTATAGTATTTGGTGCATCTGCCATTGCTACTTATTCTTCCTCCTCTTATTGTTTCTTCCTTTTATTCTCTTGCTTCTATTATATTATTATAATCTTATTACTGCTGGTTCAGGGAACACTTCACGAGCATCAAAAGTATGATGAGTGTATGGATTGATCAATTGGTTAAAAACTAGTAAACTGTCTACGTTTTTCAGTTTTCTTGGAACAGTGCCATAACCTTATATTTATCTTTTTGACAAAGCTCTTTCTCCTTCAAAAATAGTTTTCCCTTTCTATGTAAATCTTCCATATGCCATTTGAATGGTTGCTACTCTGTCAATATTGTCTGGTGCTTTCCCTTAAGAGCCCTACTCATTTGCCAATCTTATGTATTTATATGGTTCATAGATTGGTATCACTGGTTTATTATAACATTCTGAAAATATGGATTGCTTATTTGTAGGATCAAATTCATATTTCTTAACAAACTTGCTGGGGGATTGAAAGACGATTGCCTAAGGACAATTCTGAAGATGACTCAACTTAGCATTGCAAACATTAATGCGCTATTATAGTGAACTTATTAATACCTCTGCTAATTGTTGAATTCTTTATTTCACTAAATTGACACGATCCTGTAGCTTTTCCTCTGTCTTATTAGTAGCCTCTTCTAACAATGCCAAATTGCTAAGAGTAATATCTAAGCCTTCCTTATGATGCAAATCAAACGAGGCTAGATTAAATAACCAAGGACATGGCTATATAAATGCCATCTTATAATAATAATAATATAAAAATCAATTCAGATTTTCTTTTTAATATTGCATTAGGCACTGTCAATGACACAACAATTGATCATGCATTTAAGTTTACTTAGAACAAGAAAAAATATACATAAAAAACAATAAATATTAAAAATTTCTATATGTATATTGATGAAATTTAAAATATTTAATACCATTAACAATAGCTTGAATTTGACTAGTGAAAATGTGTAAAAACAATATGAATAACAGAGGAAACAACCTTAACCTTATGCCATATGAGTAAGATATTAATAATATAATTAATTCCTAGTATCATTTAATAGTGATTTAATCTTATGGTAACGTTGGCTGTTGGTATTGGTCCCACCCCTTTGGTTTAATATCCTCATCCTGAACTAACCATTAAATTCTACGCCCTTCCTCCCATAAGCCTAACTAACTATTATTAGTTGGTAATGAATATCTGCCTTTTCCAGATTGTTTTCCATTTCTCCAATAACCTTCATATTCTAAATGTAATCTAAATATTATACTTCTTCCATCTGGCCACTCATAAATACCATATCCTTATTTTTTATCATTTGCATATTCTCCTTCATATGAACGTCCATCAGGCCATGTATATATGCCTCTGCCATTCATTTAATTATTGCTCCACATCCCCATGTATTTCTATATTGAATTGATAATTTACTCTATCGTCAGACCAAGTATATATTCCGAACCCTTCCAGCTGATTCCTCTTCCAATAGCCCTAATAACAAGATCCATCATTCCAGTAATATTTTCCAAAACCTTCTTTTTTCCCAAACCTATAATTCCCTTCATATCGAGATTGATCCTTCCAAATTTCAATGCCATAACCATGAGGTTAATCATTTAACCATTGTCCATCATATTTGGCTCCATTAGCATGAATATATTTCCCCTAACCACTAACTCTATCTTCCTTCCATTCTCCATCGTAAAGATCCCCGCTGGCATACCAAAACTTACCTTTTCCATCGGCTCTGTTTTATTTCCATTATCCCTCGTATTTAGCTCCGTCTGACCATATTTAAATTCCGAAACCATCCCTTTATTTTCCTAACCATTCTCCTTCATAATGGGCCCCACTTTTAAAATAATGTTTTGATCTTTTTTCCCTGGTTTCAGTTTCAAATTTATTGGCTCCTGCATCAGTCATGTCTTCTTAATTTCTTTAAACCATTTCATTTTTCCTATTTTATAATTCGCTGTTCGATTCTCAAATATAAATCTAAAATGTACATGAAGTTAGGCTGAGATCAGATTTTTTATCACTAGGCAGAAGAACAGATTATATCGGTAAATAGTTTTCAATAACTAGTTATAATGATTATTTGATCTATGCTTAACAATATTCTAATACATCATCTTCTTCATAATTTTCTTCGTCTTCAGGAAAAGCACGACTTATTGTATATTGATTAAACTCAGAGACTTAAATTTCATCTTTCTTTGAGCAGCTTTAACAATTAGTACATTTATTGCCCATTCTTTGATTAATAGTATGTATTTTAATAATTATTATCAACACTGTGTAAATTGTTTTGATCTTAATTTTTTATAATTTCAAATTTTACAAAGGTTATAAAGAAGATTATAAAAGAATAATTAATAGGGACTTAATTGTTTACATAATTCTGAGATAGTTAAATTGATTTGGCAGCATAACATCTAAAATATCTAAATTAACTAGTAAATAGGCTAATTTGTAAATTTATTATATAATCGTATATATATATATATAAATTTACAATTGATCCAATAAGCTGATGTCAATAAGCTAACACAGTAATATATATGCGATCATAGTTATCATATTGAAATTATGATAATTATTTTTTAATTCACATCAAAATAACACTTTAACAAATATCTTTATTTACAATAACTTATTAAATGAAAAATATTGTTGATGATATATTTTAAGGCTGAATTTTACAACACTCTCTCATTCATTTTATTAGTTTATTTTTAATGCAAATCTATTGTAGCTGGATTAACCTTAGTATTTCATAAGATATATAAGAAAAGAATACAAATTTAATCTTCCAAGTTTGTATGAATGTTATATTTCTAATTTCTAAATTAGAGATTTTTAAACACGATTTAATTGAGATAAAATATATTGATATTTTACTTAGGAATAAAGAATTTTTTTAACAAAATAATTTTATACTGTTATTTATGATTAACTCATCTTTTCATAATTTGCTAACTTTGGCAATATGAACAGCTAAGTCCAAAACTCTGTTGGAGTATCCCCATTCGTTATCATACCATGAGACTAATTTGTGGAAGTTCTTTGTCAATCCAATACCGGCTTTGGAATCAACGATTGATGATCTAGAGTTTTAATTAAAATATATAATACCTAGCGTCATGGAGGAAATCTTATGAGACGACTTAATCACTTGTGAATCCCAAGATTCCCTTCAATGGTCCTGCTTATGAAGCCTTTGAGAGTGCTTCCATAACTTCATCATAGGTTGCTTCTTTTTGAATTCTGACTGTCAAATCAACAACTGAAACATTGATGGTTGGAACTCTGAAGGCCATACCGGTCAATTTTCCTTTGATTTCTGGGATGACTAATCCTACAGCTTTGGCAGCTCCTGTGGATGATGGGATGATGTTGGCAGCGGCAGCTCTACCGGCTCTCCAGTCTTTTCCACCTTTGGCTGGTCCATCAACGACCAATTAAGTAGCTGTGGAGGCATGAACTGTTGTCATAAGACCTAGGAAAATCTACTGATATTTTACCCTCAACAATACCAAAATTATCATTGATAACTTTGGCCAATGGAGCCAAACAGTTGGTTGTGCATGAAGCATTTGAAACAATGTGTGAGTCAGCCTTATAATTTTCATGGTTAACTCCATAGACAAAAGTTGGTGTGCCCTTGTCCTTTGATGGAGCAGACATAATGACTTTCTTGGCTCCTCCCTTCAAGTGGAATCCTGCCTTTTCGTCAGTCAAGAATGCACCTGTTGATTCACAAACTGTGTTAACCTATATGAAATTAATAATAGCTATTACTCCTGCTTCTCCCCATGGAATTTAGCTTGGGTCTTTTTGAGCGAATACTCTGATTTTTTATCCGTTGACGACGATTCCTTAATCGTATTTCTCAACTGTGAATGGGGATCTCAAATGAGCAGAGTCATATTTAAGATTATAGACCAAGTAATCTAGATCCATGAATGGGTCATTGATAGCTTTTACGGTCACCTAGGATTATTTAGAATATGTACTGGTTTGTTGTTCTCAATAGCGGCTCTCAAGACTAATCTACCGATTCTTCCGAATCCATTAATACCAAGTGTGACAGACATTTATAATGATAAAAGATATTTATACTTTGATAACCAAAACACGTAAATTTATTTCCTCTATTAATGCGTCATTTGATTAAAATCACCATTATAATCCCAATAATTATCATGAAATAACAGACGTATGTGTAAATAATATGATACTTTCAAATATCATGACAATGTATATAATTAGTTCAACTCAAAAATAACGAGAATTAAATTTTTAAATTTAATCGTGTGTTTATCAATATTAATTCAAAATTGATGAACTAATTCTAGAAAGATCAAGTTGAGTTTGTAATAATTTTTAATTAAATTCTTAATACTATTAAAGTTTTTATTGTTCAATAATGTTCCATCCTCTTAGAACCACTCCTTCACTTGATTTTTTAAGGTAGATTAAGAGTTAGTATTTAATAAGAAACAAATATATATATATTTAATCATTATTCCTCTTCCTTTAAGATTTCTGTTGGATTCTTTGCACTTTAAATTTCAGTCCTAATGTTTTTTGGAATCAATCTAATGACTGGGACAGGAATCCAAACTATCTTCTTTGGTTCTCCTGGGTTTAAATCAAACATTTGTTCAAACTTAAATAGGAAGTCTCTTGGACATAGATAACGAACATTTGAATCCCTTTGTTACTCTGACGATTTAATGTCAATTTTTTTGTGTACTTATGGTTCCAATTAATCTATTTCTTATTTGCAAGATGATTCAGTTTTAATAGTCTTGATTTCTTAATCTTCTTACTTTTCGAATTCTTAATCCGAGACCTAAAGTTTCTATTAAATTAAATTTAAATATTACTAAACCCAATTTGTAATTTTGATCCTTGTGTTTAGTGTAGAATCGATTCTTAACCATTATTTCCTAAATTTAAGATTAATAATTACCGATCTATCTTTCATAAGTTTAGCGATCTAGGTCCACTTCGCACCATACTGTCTATACAAGACCATTAATTAATCGTCTTCCTCTTGAGTCCATGGTCTTGCAGGAGGGGCGATTATCTGATTGATATATCTATTTCGAATTTAGTTTCCAGTCCTGTTTTTCATTATTTAAGCAATTTCGTTCCAATTTTCTCCATACTTTTACACCAGCTCTTTCAACATTTCATCTTCTTCCTTGGTCCATGGAGTCTTCTTGCCACTCTTGCTAAATACATGTAAGTTTTACCTTCAATTAAGTCCATCTTTGAACACATTCTTAATCCGTTTTCCCTGATAAATATTCTGCTATTTTCTTCCACTAAGGTCCATATAACTTAAAAGCTTCTTCTAATCGTCTGTCATCATCATAATTCCATTTATTATTGTTTTCTACTTCAGCATCAGTCCAAGCAAATTACATCAAATTAATATAAATAAAAAAAAGATTTGTAAATTAACTCTTTCCCCCTTCAGATAATAATCCAAAACCTATAATTCAATCAATGTATGCTAAATAGCATAACTTCCCTCACTTTTCTCTACTTTTTTATACACTTTAACGTGTGGGAAATACAAAAGCTGATTTTAAGGCGCCTATTTAAGAGTTAAAATTTAAAATTTCTTGGTTTGGCTTCCTCACTTTCTTATCTTTAATAAAAGACTCCATCTCGGCTTAATTTTGATTTCATTAATCTTTTCAAATAAAATAATGCTCAAGACCCCAAGCACTTTTTATTATATATCTAATAATTAAAATATGTTTCATAAATTAGTTTATATATATGATTCTATTTGTTTTTTGTAATATTTTTTACAAATTTTCAACTTATAAGGGAAAAGAATTAATTCTAAAAATAATAATATATTTATTAGAATGAATATTGAAACACAATCTGAAAAATCGGAAATTAGAAGATCCAAACGAGAGAGATATGTTTGGGAGGCTTTAAATGCAGTTCAGAAGTGGAGAGACTTATTTGAAAATGGTTATTTAGATGAAGTAGGAAATTACTTAAAACCCTCTTTAAAAGAGGCAGCTGATCTAGTTGGACTTCCCAAAAGGACGCTCGAATAATATCATAGTGTTTTTAAGTAAACATCTCTAATTATCAGTAGAAAATTACCACAATCCATTGACATTATGAGAATACTTGATAAAAAAATGGGTTATCTTAATCAGCTCATTAAAGAATTTAAAAATGAACCAGCAGTAACTTAAGAATAACAAGAAGAAATTCAGCAGGAATAGAGTTCGTGGGATAATATGATTATCGAAGCAGATGATTAATTAGCAGTCCAAAGAGATCCTGATGAAGACTAGGTTATCAATCAAGTGGTTTAATAATAATAAATTTTCGAGAATGAAGAAGATTATGTAAAATATCTTTAATTCGAAGAGGATGAAAATTATTGTCAGGAATATTACTAATTCAATGAAGATGAAGATTTCTTATGGGATTAAGAATAAGCTAATCCTGCAGTTCCTGATTTTTGATTTAATTAATCAAACACACTTAAACATAGAATATAAATAAATCACTTAACTATTTCACATTTTCTCTATTCTCACTTATCTCTAGATCCCTAACAATCTCAATATATCAATACATCTAATTCTTAAGTGTTATTTTTCTTCAAAATATCCATTAAAATCGATCGATTGATCAATATTTTTTCAAATAACAGCTTTAACAAGACAGAATATAAGAAATAAGGAACTAAATTTAAACCTAGTATATACAGCAAGGACTATCGAATACTTTATTGTCTTTGATTCGACACTTTTAGTGCTTTCATTGATCACCAGTAATTATTGCATAATTCTTGTCTTCGTTTAAACACTGCTTATATCTACTATTTCTTTAGTAAATAATAGTTCTATATATAATTGACTCTATTAAAAGGCAAGTTTAAATGTTTTTTTTGAACTTTTATAAACTCAAAATACAATATTCACTGCACTTTCTTTTTCTTTCGCAAAAATTTAATCGCATTCTATTCTAATCACTAAAGATATTCTGCAAAAGTGAGAATCAACCATATTTGATATCTATCTCATAAAAAATTTGACAACTTAACCTAATAATCTTTATAGAATTATCAGTCTAATTGGATGATAAGATATGCTGATATTTATTATCTTATAATTTATAATCATATATGGTTAGTTTTCCTTATTTCATATTTCTATCAAATATTCAACAATTTATCATAACATATAATTCTATAGTAATTTTCTTATATAATATCTTCTTCATAATAACCATGGAAATGAGTTAAAGTGAAAAAATATCTATTTATCTGATTAATAGTTGCTCATTTAGGGTGTTTTTGTTATATATTTTTGTGAAAAAAGACTTATTTTTTTTCAAAAAAAAAAGTTTCCATCTAGTTCAAAAATAAATTAAGTTATTTTTTGTTAATCTAAATTGCTAGTGATTAATTCCATATTTTGATTCATTGATTAACATAAGTAAGAGTACACTCTTAACTTTAATAAAAATAAGCTTTTTTGCGAAAATGATGGGTATTGTTCAAATTCACAAAAATTCTTCATTATAAAATATATGCAATAATATATAATATTGAACAAATATAACTCATCATCACTATTATTTTGCTTTAGATTTCTCTTTTATATCTTTGGTTTTATTCTTCTTTTCACTTTACTCACTTTTCTCACTTTTCTCTTTAACTTGTTTTTCCTGCTTAGATTTTGTTTCAATAACTTCTTTTTCAGTGCCTTTGATTTTTGCCTAATTAATAGAATTGAAAAGTTACATTAGAAATAGCAATTATTAAATTTTTCAAAATAAACACTCCAATAGAAAAGGAAGAGAATAAAATTGCAGTACCAAAAGGACTAGTTATGAAATTTCTTAATCCCCCTCTTTAAGTAACTGGGGCAGAAGTGTTCTATGACTAATCATCAACTTCAAATTCATTTTCTAATTCATTTAAGTGATCATTTCTAATTTTAACTCTCTCCTTCCTTTTAACCTTGGCTTCAGATTTTTTCTATCTCTCGAGTTCTTCCTTAATCTTTTCTTCATTAATAACTTTCTCCCAATTCTCCTTCATGTATTGATATTCTTCATAATCTGTTTCAATTATTCCACCTGCATACAAAACTATGCCATGAATATATGGATTATCAAATTTTGTTTTTTCAAGATTCACCTATAATTTACCTTCCTAAACTGCATCTACACATAAAACATTCTATTGTATATAAAGCAAATTTACATTATGAAATACTTGACCTGCTACATATTCAAATTCTATATATTCATCATTTGAAGCAAACTTTCCAACTTTGGCCACAACATCAAGTTTTTCTACGACTCTTTATTGTCCAAATTTAATATGGAAGACTCTCTTTCCTTTAGTGTCAAAGTACATCTTTCATGTATATTTTAATTGTGGTACTTCTGCAAATTTAAGAATTAGAGTATAAGTGCCTTCTTTTTACAAAGGAATCTGATATGAGAATGACTTGTAAGCGTGCCTTTCTGTTAAATAGATTTCTGGCTCTCTTGTATATTTGATTTGTTGACTAGCCACTTCTGAATTCAAACTGTAGTCTGCTACCACTGTTTCAGGATCTGTTTGTATATCCTTAGAAATAAGATTAAAAGCAATAATACTTTTTCGTATTGAATTCCTGAGGGACTTTTATAATTCGATGGAGCACCACAATTTATAGCATAAATGACTTTTTTTGGGTTGAGAGGCTTAGAAAAAGCAAGTGCTATAATGATAAATAATTATATCATTAAGAATAATAAATTATATATTCATTTATTCACAAAAGTTTGTATTTAATAATCCACATTCATCCAGCTAAGCTTAGAGCAACCAAATAACTGGGAATATACTCTTTAAATTTAATATTATCCTGAGATATATTATTTGTAGTATTAATAGTTTAATTTGTGTTTTGAGTTTATTATTTTTACATTCGATAAACACTATTATTAAAGCATGTGGTATTAGAATTCTAAAGTTAAGTAATTTATTTTTTAAGAGCTAAATTTTCATTCTTCGACATATTTAGAGCTTCTTGTAACTGATATATGATCAAATCTTGATTATTTGATTATTTCAATTATTAATTCTCCTTCTTCAATTTAGTTGCCAATTCAGTTAGTTTTGAAGATTCTTTCTCTAATGCTGCAATCCTCATTAGATATTTGATTTCTCTCTGTTTGTTTTCATCGAATTTATTCTTGTTTGTGATATCCTACATCTAGATCCTTTGTATATTTTCCTTTCTTTCCTAAAAAGCATTGGCTAAATAACCAGATAGATTGTTTGAATTGTCAATCTAAGAATTATTTCTATTGTCATAAAACGAATTATTAACTTTTCCTTTACTTCTATTCACTAATATAGTACATTGATTTTACAATCTCCAATCGATGTATTTTGTTTGACTTTGACTTTGTCTCTGCTGAGCAATCTGGCACTTTTGATTGCCTCAGCCTACACAATTTCTTTAATAGCCTTAACTTCTCTAGAGGAATTGCGGTAATAGGGCATAGAAGTATTTAAGGACATAAAGCTTTAACTGCTATATATAAATAATAATTAATTAAAGAGTATTAAGCAAATAATAATATAAAATTATCATTGTTCATATCTCTCAATAAAAACAGTTCTACAGATCGGACAAGATCCACAAGTTTGAATCCATACCAAAATGCAAGTATCGTGGAAAACATGATTAATTTTCCTGTTGCCACTCTCTACATTGCAGGGTAATTTGACGCAATTATCATCCATTTAATAAGTGGATAAACATATTGAGCATTCTTCGTGAATACTTTCATCTTATTCTTTTAATTATTAGAATTTCAAAGGTATTAAATTATTTAAGAATCGTTGTCTTTACTGAGCAATTCTGTGAAGCTTATATTCAGTATATAGATAGGTGCACCAATTGCAAGATTACCAAATAGCCATGCCAATGATGATTGGGATTATAGCACAAATCACCAGGATTAGACTCAACAGAATGATAATGATGATATAACCTATTAGCATTGAGAATACTGTCAAAACAATCAAAATTGAATCCAATTAATTCATATTGATGTTGTTGTTATCCCAATTTATGAATATCCATTACACAATCGTGATATTACCCCAAGCAAATAATATTATTTTAGTCAGCAAACAAACTCTATTTAGTGCAAATATCTAAGAATTCTAATTCTCTAATAAATAGGATAACCACTTTATTGTTGTAATCTTCTCTGAAATGCTGATGGCAACCTATTATGCTTGAGTCAACTGCTCCTCGTCTTCCACTATGTCTTCAAAAGGACTATTTCTTTTTATAGTATATTTTAAATATTCGATAATCTGAGAACTGGCATCTCCTTAGTTTATTTATTCTGCCTCATTAATTATGTACCTTAATTAACAGTTTATGTATAGAATTAAACAATCAGAGATTAAGTTAAAACCAAAATAGACACTAAATAATTCCTTTATTTCATCTTTTGTAATGAGTGAAAAATACATTGCTATGACCTCATTCAAAATAAAAATGATGTTGAATATTGTGAATAGATTTACAAGTATGTAGCTTCTGAAAACTATGATTTTGAGGGCGCTGTTTAGTTGTGGACATTGGTTGTTAAAAATCAACTAAATAATATCTTGGAAACTAATGTTCAAATACTATTCAGTCTCAAATTATGATGTGTCCTATATTTCAGCAGGCTGTTACTCCTAGAGATGTACTAAACTAAATTATTAAAGCGATTATTATTCTGCTGACTATAACTAAATAGAAGAATGATGTGATTGTCCTTAAGGCTTATATTGAAATGACAAAGATTCAGGATTGTTGATAACTTTCTCTGATTGCTAAAATTAGGTTCTGAATTCTTAAAATTCTGATTGTAGTGATTAGTCTAAACTATTCATTAACAAACTAAAAATTTATTATTTATAAGACATTTTCATAAATTCATAATAAATAAATAATTATGAACACAACCTTAGAAAACAAATAAGATAACAATCAGATCGAACAAATTGAGAAAAAAGTGAAGATACAAAAGCCAAAGAAGGCAGATTTCAGAATGCACGCTCACGTCAATCCTCTAAATGAAACCTTATTTCCTTATCCCCTCAATTACAATTAAGTTGATTGGTCATTACACTATCCTAAAAAGTTTGGAAAGGATCCCTTAAAGTTATACCTCAATACTTTAGAATACCCCATTACATATGATGACTAAGTCAATCCTGATTGTTCATAATCTATAGTCGATTTTCTTGATATGTAAGTTAACTTGTTAATAATAAATAAGCGGTTGTGGATTTGGAGGATTATGCTTTGCCTTAAGCGAAAACTACCCTGATAAGTACATTTTTGGTATGGAAATCAGAGGCAAAGTGGTTAACTTTGTAGGAGAAAAAATAAGAGCCTTAAGGGATGAGGGCTAAGCTCACAATGTTTCAGTGATTCGTACTAATACTATGAGACATTTGCCTCAATATATCAGAAAAAACAGTTTAGAGAAAATCTTTATTTGTTTCCCTGATCCACATTTCAAAAAGAAAAATTTTAGAAGAAGAATTGTCAATCCAGGATTACTCTCTGAATATGCTTATCTATTGAAACCCAGTGGAAGAATCTACTGTATAACTGATGTTGAGGAATTGCATAACTGGCATGTCTAACATCTTGAAAAGCATAAGATGGTATTTATGAAAGAATTATGTTAAGTTTAAACGAATTTAAGACGTTGAATAAGATTCTGCTGCCAAACTCATTTGGAATTCTACTGAAGAGGGATAGAAGGTTGAGAGAAACAAAGGATCCAAATTTATTATTGTTTGCGAAAAAGTATGACTGTCAAGATTAATAAAAATACATTATGTAACTTAAATTAATATTAAAAATAATATATTTATTTATACATGCCTCCCAAAACACAATAAGTTGTGAGTGTCATTAAAGATGAAGAAATGTTTCTTAATTTGATAAGTTCAGAAAATAAAAAGTTGGTCTTACTTGATGTTCACCCAGATTGGTGTGGACCATGTGAAATGATGCACCCAACTTACAAAACCTTATAGACAAGCATCGATGACTTTGAAAAAAGAGTGGACATCTACACTCTCGGCTATAGCAAAATCGTCACCTACAAACATGACAAATTTAGTAAATGTTAATTTAAATCTTCTTTTTAGACAGAGAGCCAACCAGTAAACCCAGGTTTGTCTTTTATTAAGATGGCAGATTGGTTGATGAAGTATAGGGAGCAGATATTCCAGCTCTTATTGAAAGAGTATACAAATATTTACCTATGGTATATTGATTATTATAAATCAAATAATACATTATTCTAATTCATTTATTATTCTATAATTCAACCTACTATTCTAGTCCTTTTTATTCAAGAATTAATACAGTTACTATTCATAAATCTTTTTGCTTTTTTACTTTGCTATATTATACCCTTTGTAATAGCATAAAATAATTAATAATAAATAAATATCGTTAATGATTAAATTTCAAAATCAGCCACTCAACTATGATGTTAATGGATATCCATAACCTAAATATTAATAGATGCCTCCGAAATAACAAAAATAAATGCCCAATCAAGGTGGCTTCCAAGAAACCTTTGGATAACAATAATATTATGGCAGACAAATGATCCCATAATAATAGGACTCTAAAAACTATCAATAACCTCAACAACACTAGTAATAGCAGGCACAAAATTACTAGAACTACCCTTAAAAATAATAATATCCAAATATGCAATAATAATAGTAATATTAACAGTCATAATAATAATAATAACCTTAATAAAAGGCTGATCCAAGATACTAGAATGTTTAATTCACAGCCAAAGAGTTTAATTAATTATTCTATAAATAACAATAATAATAACAATAACAACAAGCCCAATAGACAAATTAAAATAAAGCAAATGAAAACCAAGAAGAAAACAAGTATCCTTAACCTTAAAAAGCTACTGCAAATGAAAGATAGATATCTACTTACTCATAAAATCAATAATAATTACTCCAATAAAAATAAGCTGGTGCACCTGGAAGAATGCAATCAGCCGATCCCATCTAAGCCCAGAACAGAAATGCAGTGCCATTGAATAACATCCAGTAATTCTTAATTTTAATTTCTTAGAAATCAGCAAGCAACTAAAACTAGTTAATATATCAGTAACGGAGGTATCAATAAGACCCAAAACGATTATTCTTAAAGATAAGCCACCCCAATGAAAGATTAAATGAAATTCATGAGTATTGATACTATTTTAAGTTTAGATTAAAAGCAAGTTCCAGAACAAATTAACCAACAACTAATGTATTCTCCTATGCCAAAGAGTCAATTATTGAATGAAACAACAAATTTGGCCAAATTATAACAACAATAATTACAATAAAACAAGTCTCCTTAAATTTAGAAAGTTGGTGGCTCTGGAATGGGTCCTGCTATATCTTAACCTACTAATGCTTAACAAATAGTTGAAGAACTAGCCAAAGAAAAAGAAAGACATTAATTGTTAACTGCCAAATTAAAAAAATTAGAATAAGAAAAGAAAACTTATAACACACAATTTTTGAATGAAATGGAAAGCAAAATTAAAACTCTTATCTAACAAAATGATTAACTATAAAACTTGAATATGGAGTATTTATTTATTAAATATGTTTAGATTATTATAGAAGGCTTAGGATTAACCTCAAGGAGAAATACAAGAACTTAATAAGTAGATTTCATATAATAGTCAATAATTGGATTTCTTGTAAAAATAAATTAATGAGGCCTAAAAGCAATTATCTGAATAGATGAAAAAATACAAAGACCTAGAATAATAATATCAGGAAAAGAATTAAGCTGAAGAACAACAAATTCAATATTTAGTTACTGATTTAGAAGAAAAGGTTCATGGTTTAATTTCTGAAAATGAAAGATTAAATGCTTTAATAGCATAACAGGATAGCAATCCTAAAAAAGAGCAATTACAGCAATTAACAAACGAAAAGAATAAGCTTATTTAAATGGTATTATTTAATTAATAAACTAGACCTAATAAAGTCAGAAAGAAGTTAAAAATTGGAAAACCAAATATGAATAGTTATAATAAAAGCTTTAATAAGCTGATAAATTCTTAGAACCATAAGGAGAATAAGTGGAAGCACTTGAAGAAAAAATTAAATCCTTGATAGAGGAAAATGATTACTTAAACACAGTTGTTTAATAATAAATTGAAAGAGAGAATCAAATAGCATTGTTGGAGGAGGAGTAAACATATAAACATATCAATTAGGATGCAAAATTTAGTTGAACAAAATGACAATCTTGAAATGTTACTCCAAAACAGTACTAAAAAATGATTAATATACAAAATATTATTATTATTGTCATTATGAATATTTCTGATCAACATTAACAAAGTTCTTTGAAAATGAGAAGACTCTCTTCTTTAAATCTTGTACAAATTTTAGATTTCTTTGTCAAACAAAGTATAAAATAATCGAATACTGAAATACAATTATATTATTTAATTTAAAATGCAAAATAACAATTATTAAAACTAAAATGATGTCTTTCCATCATACCCTGAATAATACCCTAATCAATATCCACCTTAGGTTCAAATGCAACAATAATAACCTTATTTAGATAATAATATATATGTAGGCCAACCTATAAATTAATAATAGTAATTTGGAAATCAATAATATTTGTAAAATTTAATATCTATAGAATTAAATATAGATAGCAACCCTACATTATTCAAGGACCAGTTGAAATTTCCACTCCAATCTATGCCAGTGCTGAAGGAATGAGATTTCCAATTCAGATCAAGTGTTAATTTTGTTAATAAGTTGGAATCACTAAAATTTAAAATAGAATTGGAGATGGAACTATCTGCGCATCTATTTTAGTTTTACTATTATGTTGGCCCTTGTTCTGGCTACCTTGTTGCTTAGAAGATTGTTAAGACAGAATACATTTATGTTAAAGTTGTGGAAAAGTTGTAGGTAAAAAAAAGTATGAAGTGTGCTGAATCTTTCTATTATTTTATTCAATATATATATATATATAATAAATAATTTCTCGAGTACCATAAAGTTTCTTAAACTTGAAGAAAGAATTTAAAATAAAAATACTATTGAATAACAAAGGTAATTTGAAAAACCTATAGATCTCATTCTATTCGTAGTTCATAATGACAAAAAAGTTTGATCGATTTTACTTTTAGAATGATAAATATATCCTTGGAAGTAAGGAATATTTGTTAATTCTTAATCGTATTATAAAAGTGTATTTTATTATTTTAGAGTTTTTTTTGGCTAAATTTATTCTTCTAAGTCTGAGCATAAAAAATGAACCAGTCTTACAATAATTTACAATCCAAAGATAACCCGAGTATATACAAAATTGCTTATCAAAAAAAAGATTAAAGTTCCTTTTTAAAGAGAATTGATCATTATCTAATAATTAGCTTATTTTAGAAATTTTAGATGAATCAGATATAGTTTATTCTGTTATTGCACTATCATTAGTTTTAACAAATAATTATTAATATTTTATAGAATAATTAATAAAAATCTTAAATAAATATTATAAAAGCATAAGCATATCCTGCTGAGTTTTGCTTTTTTATTGTAAAAAGCGATTCTTTGCTTTTATTAACATATAAGTGGCTACCATACTTAGCTTGATGATGATTTTTTAACACATTCCATTTTACTATTTACTTTAAAGAATGGCTAAGATAAAATGATCATTTACTTAATTTTTGGAAAAAGGGAGAAGAAAAATATAAAATTCATTTGTGAACCAATATTTTTGCACTCTTGAATAAGTTGCACAAATATTATTGATTATAATTACTAATTTTAGAGAGTCTTAAGTTAATGAGAAAATTTTTTAGATAAAAAAAAGTTGAATTTGATACTAAAATAATGATTGTTGTTTCTTAGATTAATAAAATTAGATAGCAAAGAGAGAATGAGAGATTTTTGAAAATGTAGAAAATATAATGCAGAACATGTGACTAAATTTAATTTTGGATTTTGATTTTTATTTGATTATGACATTGCAAATCAGATAGATGAATTCACTTTATTGGATTGAGCAACCAATTGTCCTAGCACTTATTCCAATTCTGATTCATTAAGATTTCCTATCAAGGCTTTCTTTTCAACACCATATTCTAATATATTTTGCTTAATAGTACTGTATCTGATGAGTACATAGGGGTCAATTGATTCGCACTCTCTGACGACAAATGGGAAATGAGGATTTGCATCCTTCCATTGCCAATAGTTTTTAGATACGAGATTTCTATAGTTTGATCATTTTTGTATACCTTACGCCTTCAGATCTGCCGCATGTCTAACAGAAGACGAATCTTAATTCTTTTACTGAGTTTCCTAGTTATTTGTACCAAGACATTTTATTATAATAAAAATAATAATGGGAGGTGTGTGCGGACATAATCACAATCATCATAATTAATTTGCAAAATCCCCTGGAGGACTTCATAGAACTGGATGTTCATTTATCAATCCTGAGCCAATGAAGTTTAATATTATATTCGAAAATCTTCGTCTCCAATACCCGACTAAGTCTTGTCATCTGAGCATCAAATTAGCAGGAGAAATTCTATTGGAAACACCAAACCATATAGATTTAGATGGTAAACATGCTGTAATTAATTAACTAACCTTAGTGGAAGAAAATTGTTGAAACATAAATTAAAGCCAATATTGTTGAGCTACATGAGAAGAAACTAGAATTTTATCTATTTGAAGAAAAGAATGTAATTGCAACTTTGGAGATTCCCGTTTTTGATATCATTAGCGGTCCTATTCATTTTGATTATTCCATCGGCAAAGGCAGGCTATCCTTCGATATGCAAATGGCCTAGATACTTTAAATAGATATTAACCCTATTGAAATAGATTGCAGTTATGTTGAGAGCATAAAAGACAAAGCCTACGTCTTTAATTTGAGATTGGTAACAAGGAAAATGTACTTTACATCCCCAAATTCTGAAAGTTTTTATAATCCTGCTTATTTGAGAGGGTTTAATTCATCTCTTAACAATTTTCTCTAAGAGATGATGTTCAGGACTACTTGGAATAGTTCATCTGAATTGCCCATTTTTGGTTTTGAGTTGCCATCAAATGAATTGTATAATAGTGCATTGTAAGTTTGCATTTGGAGTATCAATAAAGCAAATGAATTCTAATCTCCTGGAATTTGTTCAATTAAATCACTAAAAGAAAAATATGAAAAAGAAGTCTTTATTGATTAGAATCTCTTTGCGGAGACCTTTATTGCCTTGCATAAACTAATTTAAGAAGATGATGAAGAAGACTTCCAAATGTATCAGTAATTCAAAACTACCGTTACTAAAAGTTTATGGTGTAAAGGCAATAAAGTAGGTACAATACAGTGTAAGTTTAACGTAAAACTTCCCAGGTTTCTTAAATAAAAATTAGTAGGTATCAGAACCGAGAATGGTTGCACATTAGGTGTTAATATTTGTAGTTCTAAGTCAGTTGCTTAGATTGCAGAGATTACTACTATCTTTTAAAAGTTGTATGAATCTATGTTTAAGATGCAATCGTTAAGTCATAATGATCCTAATAGAGCAATACTCTAACATCAGGCCTTGACTATAAGCTAACAACTATTAGTTGAAGTTTAAAAAGCTGACAAAGATACCAATTCCAAATTATTCTACTATAAAAACTAGGAGGATTTATTTAAAGCTTAGGAATATTTTATTAAGATAGCAGAACAGATAACAAAATATATAGATAAATTGGATGATAATCTAAGGGAGGTTTGCTATGAAATCTTATTGGTATTAATTGACAGAGGAGAATTTCGATTGCATTCTTTAGGATATTTTGAGGAATGTAAGTAGTTGTCCAAAAAGCAATTGGAACTAAAAAACTCAGTGAATCTTCATTATTCGGAATTTATGCTCCAAACATTAAATTGGGTTCTTCTTAAGGTTCCATTAAAAACACAATAGTAAAATGAGAGAAAATTCATGATGAGATTCCTGGTGTTGGCATTTATAAGAATCTATAACTTTAAGGATTAATTATTGAAATGCATCAATAAACCTAATGACCCTTAATTAGTGGAATGGAGAGGGAATGAATTTTAATTAGAAGAATAAGATGTTTTTATAAATGAATAAGTAGCTATGATATTTGATTGGCAGACGTACTTTTATAACTATCTCTCTTAAAACCAATAATACTAATTAAATTAAACCATGTAAGATGAGTAATGGAAGTCAACCTTCTAGAAGAGGAGTTTAATTTATCAATACTTTATTATGGATTTCTGTACTTACATATAATACATTCTGTAGAAGAATAATATACAATGGCAACATGTGCCTGGATATAAACAATTATTGAAATCTTTTCTTTGTGAGTTGAAATTAAAAGAATCATATACTACATCATTTTTTGATTGTGTGATGGCAATTTCGAGAAATACGAATATCATCAACATTATTGTAATGATATTATTCAATAAAACTAAGTAAGATCTACAGTTATAATTAGTTTGTATTAATCTGATTAGGTCATATAGGTTTTCGATTTATTGAGTTTAATAATAAATTAATGCCCTTAAACATTAACAGTTTTTGATTACCCATTCTTTTTAAATGGGATTAGAATTGTATTAACATAATCAGAACATGCTATAGCAATAGCAACAGTTTTGGAGTTGATTTACACCAATTTTTTGAAATTCCCGATAGAGTTCAGAAAGGCAGTGATCGACTTATTATTTGAGCCAATATGTTTTGAACTGTTTCTCCATTGGTCAAAGACTGTGAGGACAGTGTTTATGAGTTTTCTACTCTATCGGATATGCCATCAATATCGAAATAACAAGATTTCAGTAATGGATGAGGAACTGTTTGAGTAGTAGTATTTGATAGCCTCGAAGCCAAGGAAGAATTTTAGTTTTTACGAGAATAGAAAGGAGGAGAAATAGTTAATTGTATAGTTTTGATATGATAACTAGGCAGATTACATTTACTTGAAATACACAAGATTTATGATGAACATAGAATAGGTCAAGATTCAATTGAAGTAGTTTCCAGTCCATAGAGATTTGACTGGTCTAGAGAGTTTGAAGGAGAAGCTGGCTCAGAAGAATCAGTATCATTAGGAGAGTCAGAATATTATTATATAGGAGTAGAGATAAGATGATAAGGAGGAGATTCCATCTGAGAAGTAGATAATTTTTGAGAGAAGGAACGAATATAGAAATCCTACTAAAAAGAGAACCATCATCTTGTCAGACAATAAATATAAATATTTAAAAGTAGCTTTAAATGAGTTCTCTGATTTGACTAAACAATACACAGTAGATGGAGATATTAATCTATGAATATGAGTGGGGGAAGAGTTGAGTCCAGAAGAGAAGAGTTAGGCGTATTTGAACTTCTAGGTTCCACAATATTAAGATTATTGGTGCATTATGATTAGAAAGAAGGGGAAAGCAAGATTGATATATTAACTATTTATGCTCTTGATTTGAAGATTAAATTTAAATGAATTAATTATGATACGAGGGTACACATCTGTATTGAGAAAAATACATTTGGTACTTACCATCAATGGGATTCTCAAAGAAATTGGGGTATCGGAGAAGCCTCAAGTGTATTAGAAGACAAAATTAAAAAATATTTCCTAATTGGTAAAAAAATGTAGTGATAATTTAGAATGACATCAAAGAATACGGTACAGTCATCTCTATTGGTGATGGTATTGCCAGAGTTTTTGGTTTGACATAAGTTTAAGCAGGAGAAATGGTTGAATTCAGTTCAGGAGTCAGAGGTATGGCTTTGAATTTGGAAACTGATAATGTGGGTATTGTCGTGTTGGGTAATGACAGGTATGTGATTAAAACTCATAAATTCTAGAGAAATCTAAGAAGGAGATATTGTCAAAAGAACAGGAGCAATTGTCGATGTCCCAATTGGTATGGAAATGTTGGGTAGAGTATTTGATGCTCTTGGTAACCCAATCGATGGACATGGTCCAGTCAAAACAAACACAAGAAGAAGAGTTGAATTGAAAGCACCAGGAATTATTCCAAGAAAGAGTGTCCATGAGCCAATGTAAACAGGATTGAAGGCTGTTGATTGTTTGGTTCCAATTGGAAGAGGACAAAGAGAATTGATTATTGGTGATAGATAAACAGGAAAGACAGCTATTGCCATTGATACAATCATCAACTAAAAACCAAATTTTGATTCTGGTGACAAGAATAAATAATTATATTGCATTTACGTTGCTATTGGTTAAAAGAGATCAACTGTTGCTAACTTGGTCAAGATTCTCACCTAAGCTGGTGCTATGAAATACACAATCGTGGTTGCAGCCACAGCCTCAGAAGCTGCTCCACTTTAATATTTAGCACCATATTCTGGATGTGCTATCGGAGAATATTTCAGAGACAATGGAATGCATGCTCTTATTATTTATGACGATCTTTCTAAATAAGCCGTTGCTTATAGATAAATGTCATTGTTGTTGAGAAGACCACCAGGCAGAGAAGCCTATCCAGGTGATGTCTTC